CTGGTTTTCTTTTTTTTCTTTTCTTTTTTTTTTTTTTGTGATGGAGCTTCACCTTATTGCCCAGGCTGGAGTGCAGTGGCATGATCTCAGCTCACTGCAACCTCCAACTCCCAAGTGATTCTCCTACCTCAGCCTCCTGAGTAGCTGGGATTACAGGCACATGCCACGCCCTACTAATGTTTTGTATTTTTTAGTAGAGACAGGGTTTCACCATGTTGGTCAGGCTGGTCTTGAACTCCTGACCTCATGATCCACCTGCCTCAGCCTCCCAAAATGATGGAATTACAGGTGTGAGCCCCCACACCCTGCCCCCTAATTGGTTTTCTACACTGTCATGTTCACCTTTGAATGGTGCCTTTGTTTAAGCCTTTTTAGCATATTCATAAACCAATCAGCATGCACTCCCCACTTCTGAGCCCATAAAAGCCCCAGACTCAGCCACACTGGAAGAGAGACCACCTGACTTCAGGTCAGTGACCACCCTCACATCCCCTCTGCTGAGAGCTGTTTCATTGCTTCATAGATGTCTTCTCCACCCTTCTCACCCTTCCAGTGTCAGTGAAGCATATGAAGAAGGCAGTAACACCATAGCCCTCCACACCTCCTTCACCACTGTCTGCACCCAGCAGCAGCCCCTTGCCATGAGAAACAGTGGCAGGGCCAGGCCAGCCAGGGAACCTCCAGAGGGAGCAGGGCAACGGGACTGACAGAGTTGTTAACACACCCCAGTTCGTTGTTAACATGGCCCTGTTTGTCAGACTGCTGGCAGCAGGACTAAAAGAGCTGTTAGCATGGCTGTAACACCCCCTCTGGGGCTTCAGAGTCGAGGGCTTCCCTGTTTGGGCACCACCAAGTTCCCTTTGTCTGGATGCCAGAGTTCACCCCAGGAGCTGCTGTTTCTGACGAGCCTGATCCCGCTGCAAGCCCTGAAGGAAACCCACTATATATATAGTTTTCCCTGAAGGAAACTATATATATATAGTTTTATAAATATATATATAGTTTTTATTTAAAATAAATAAATATATATGTATGGTTTTTGTTTTGTTTTGTTTTGTTTTGTTTTTTTGAGACGGAGTTTCGCTCTTGTTACCCAGGCTGGAGTGCAATGGCGCGATCTCGGCTCACCGCAACCTCCGCCTCCTGGGTTCAGGCAATTCTCCTGCCTCAGCCTCCCGAGTAGCTGGGATTACAGGCACGCGCCACCATGCCCAGCTAATTTTTTGTATTTTTGGTAGAGACGGGGTTTCACCATGTTGACCAGGACGGTCTTGATCTCTTGACCTCGTGATCCACCCGCCTCGGCCTCCCAAAGTGCTGGGTTGTTTTGTTTTTGTAGAGAGGGTTGTTTCACCTACATTACCCAGACTAGTCTCAAACTCCTGGGATCTGGACTCTGGGCTCAAGTGATCCTTGGCCTTCCAACCCCAAAGTGCTGGGATTACAGGCATGAGCCATTGCCCCTGGCACTCTACAAAAAAAAAAAAAAAATTAATTAGCTGGGCATGGTGGCTCATGCCTGTAGTCCCAGCTACCTAAGAAGCTGAGGTGGGGCCGGGCATGGTGGCTCATGCCTGTAATCCTAGCACTTTGGGAGGCCGAGGTGGGTGGATCACCTGACCACAAAACCAGCCTGGCCATCATAGTGAAACCCCATTTTAAAAAAAAAAAAGAAGAAGAAGCTGAGGTGGAAGGATTACATGAAGCCAGGAGATTGAGAAGCCATGATTGTGCCACTGCACTTCAGCCTGGATATCAGAGCAAGACCCTGTCTCAAAAAATAACAAAAATAAAAAGGAGGCCAGGTGTGGTGGCTCACGCCTGTAATCCCAACACTTTGGGAGGCTGAGGTGGGCGGATCACCTGAGGTCAGGTATTCAAGACCAGCCTGGCCTACATGGTGAAACCCCATTTCTACTAAAAACACAAAAATTAGCCAGATGTGGTGGTGGGCGTCTGTAATCCCAGCTAAGAAAAAAATCACTTGAACCAAGGAGGTGGAGGGTACAGTGAGCCAAGATTGTGACTGCACTCCAGCCTAGTCGACAGAGTGAGACTCCATCTCAATAAAAACGTCAAAAGGAAAGGCCAGGTGTGGTAGCTCATGCCTGTAATGCCAGCACTTTGGGAGGCCAAGGTGGGCAGATCCCCTGAGGTCAGGAATTAGAGACCAGTCTGGCCAACATGGTGAAACCCGTCTCTACTGAAAATACAATTAGCTGGGGCTTGGTGCTGCATGCCTGTAATCCCAGTTACATGAGAGGCTGAGGCAGGAGAATCGCTTGAACTCTGGAGGCGGAGGTTGCAGTGAGCAGAGCACTGCACTCCAGCCAGGGTGACAGAGGGAAATTCCATCTTAAAAAATAAAATAAAAGGGAAAAAGGCAGGTTTCATATTAAAATGGAGAGCATGAGGGACAGAGCCATACTGGAATCATCACTTATCTGGAGCACTGTTTATCTGGTTGTTACTGCAGTGTTGGACCCACACACCTAGTGGATGAAGCAAGATTACACTATCTTCTGCTCCTAAAACCCACTTATTATCTTGTCCTCAGCTAGAGGATGTGTCAGATATTACACTAATAAGCACAGATACTACCTTTGATCTTGGGTAGAAGCAGTAAATTCCATTCTGGATTTAAAATCTTTAGTCTTTCTATAGGTAAAATAAAATTTCATTTGCAAAACTTACTTACTCCTATGGGCTTGAGGACATAGCCATTGATTGGTAAAGTGTGTTTTTGAGACTTTCTTCTGCTGTTGGTGGAGATGGGTTTATATCATCCTTGGGTACATTATGACAAGATTAAAGGAGATGGGGAAATGAGTTGCACATTGAGGAAAGAACAGTCAGGGAAACCTAACTGCAAACTTCTTTTTCAAAAGAAAAGCTGCATAGCAGCCTCACTTCATCTGTTATAAATCAGGACAGGACAGGCATGGTGGCTCAAGCCTGTAAGCCTAGTGAGGGAGGAGACCCTTAATCACCCTTAAGCATCTAAGACTATCCCTGCTTTGAGAGGGAGTCTTGCTCTTTCACTAGGCTGGAGTGCAGTGGCACAATTTCGGCTCACTGTAATCTCTATCTCCCAGATTTGAGTGATTCCCTGCCTCAGCCTCCTGAGTAGCTGGGACTACCAACACTCACCACCACACCTGGCTAATTTTTTGTATTTTGGTAGAGACGGAGTTTCACCATGGCCAGGATGGTCTCCATCTCCTGACCTTATCATCGGCCCGCCTCGGCCTCCCAAAGTGTTGGGATTACTACAGGCATGAGCCACTGCACCCAGCCTGCACTGCATTTTAATAGAAGTAAAAGGTGGCAGACCGGGCGCCACCCTAATTGCCCTCCTATAGATCGAAGACGTGGTGTGGAGGAATCTTTCCTGAAGGAATTGTGGTTTTTTTGCTTGTTTGTGTTGTGGCACTGTTTTTACTTAAGATCAACCCCCAAGTCACTATACCCCAGGCCTACTCCTAAGCCCAAAACCCTTTCACATGTAAATTCTGGAGTTGTAAGATGAAGACCCTTTCACATGCAATTTCTAAAACTGTAAACCCAAGACCCTTCACATGTAATATCTAGAGTTGTAAGCCTATATAAAGGCAGAGGTTTCCTTTGTTAAACGAGCTTGGCTGTTCGGCAACTATGCCACCTTGCTCCCAGCTGAATAAATCACCCCTTCCTTCCCAGTTCAGTGTTCAAGAGGTCTGTTTCTTGAGGCCACTCCTGCTACACTAGCACTTTGGAGGTGGATGTGCACAGATCACTTGAGCCCAAGAGTTCAAAACCAGCCTGGACAACATGGCAAAAACCTGTCTCTAGAAAAATAAATGCAAAAACTTAGCCAGGTATGGTGGTGTGCACCTGTGGTCCCAGCTACTTGGGAGCCTGAGGTAAGAGGATCACTTGAGCCTAGGGAGGTTGAGGCTGCAGTGAGCTATTATAGTTCCACTGCATTCCAACCTGGGTGACAGAGGCAGACCTTGTCTCAAAAATAAATAAATAATAAAACCAGGACAAGGGAGTTTTATACCCTGGTACCCCCAAAAGAAATGTTGAAATGGGAAGTATGCAGTACTTGTTCCCCTTTGTGGGCTAAGCAAGCATGGGCTTTATTGGTTATTGGAACTTTTGGCCCTTCAGGGTGAAACTGCAGACACAGGAGCAGCTTAGGGACAAGAGAGAGCCATGGAAATAATGGATAAAAGGAGCAAGAAAGTAATCTCTTTAGCATATAAATGCTCCACACCAAGGTTTATTCTGGGCTGGAAGAGCCTTAAGGAGTGTGGGTGGGGCAGTGCTTGTGTGCATGCCTGTGGCACACACCTGTGGTCCCAGCTACTCAGGAGGCTGAGGTGGGAGGATCACTGGAGCCTGGGAAATTGAGGCTTCAGCGAGCAGTGATCACACCACTGCATTCCAGCCTGGGTGACAAAGTAAGACCCTGTCTCAAAATAAAAATAAAAATAAAAATTTAAAAGATGAAATTACATCTGACATATATCAAACCCACAAATTGCACAAACATATGTGGCATTGGGCTTAAAATGTGTGACCTTTCAAGATTCTGCGACTAGGAAAAGTTTGGTGGACAAAGTCCGTCTTCTGGGAACATAAAAGAATAAAGCCTGCTCATATAAATGGAGGCATAAGCCACGTTCATATAATGAAAGTTGTAATGTTGGAAAGATGTCAGTTCTCCTCAAATTAACCTACAGATTCAGTGTAGCCCCAAGCAAAACTACAAGTGTTTTCAGAAATTGGTGAGCCGGATTTAAAGTTTATATATAAACAAAATGCCAAGAGAAATCCACGCATATACTTGAATATGGAAGACGGAATAGGGAGATGACTTGCTCTAGCAAATATAAAGATTTCTCATGAAACTATAGCAATGAAGACAGAGAGGTACTGGTGCAAAGATATGACAGAATATAGAAACCAGAAGCAGAACCATGAGCAAATGGACATTTGTTGAATAACAAAGTCAGATCTGTTTGCAGTTCATCAGCGTGATGACTGGGTTTTCACACTCGTGTGGGATGCGCCTCCCTCAAACCTTGTAAGGTCTGCCTGTTACCAGTGCAATGTGAGAAAAAAAATAACAAAGAACTTCAGAGCAGTGAGGAAGACAAACTTCAATAAATGGTGTTGGAAAAGTATGGTATGTGATAATGTGCGATACATATTTGGTCTTCCCGTTTCCTGGCATACAACTCCTAAAATCCTTAGAATCTCCAAAGTGATACATTTGTGTCCTAATGAGTTGACTGATGGCTGGCAGCCCCTAGGTGGCTTCAGAAGGGGGCTGGTCACTGGAAAGACCAAGGCAGGATTAGAGGAGTGGGATTTTCGGTTCCACCCCTCAACCTCCAGGGAGGGGAGAGGGGCTGAAGGCTAAATTGATCACCAATGGCCAGTGGTTTAATCAATCATGCCTATGTAGTGAAGCCTCCATAAAAACCCAAATTGACAGGGTTTATATGACCTTGTGGACAGCTGAACACATGGAGGTTCCTGGAGGGTGACACACTGGGGAGGAGCTTGGAGAGGACCTGGAAGCTTCACCCCCTTCCCCCATATCTCACCCTATGCATCTCTTCATCTAGTGTTCATAGATATCCTTTCTAATATACTTTATAATAAACTAGCAACTATAAGTAAGTGTTTCCCTGAGTTCTGTGGGCCACTCTAGCAAATTAACTGAAACTAAGGAAGAGGTCCTGTGAACCCTAATTCATAGCTGATTGATCAGAGGCACAAGTAAAACAGGCTGGGGCGTGCAACTGGTCTCCAAAGTCGGGGAGGGGGGGTGGGGGGCCAGGGGCAGTCTTGGGGACTGAGTCCTCAACCTGTAGGACCTGACGCCATCTCTAGGTTGAGAGTGTGAGAACCGAATTTGATTAGAGGGCACCTGCTGGTATCAGCTACAGAATTTTTTGTTCGCTTGGTGTGTAGGGGAAAAACCATATGTTTGGTCACAGAAGTCTTCTGATTGTTGAGAGAATAGAAAAAACACAAACCCTTTGGGTTTCCCCCCCGCCATATCTTCAAACAAGTAAAGTAGGATGCCTGCCTCACAGCTTGCACAAAAATCAACTCCAGTTGAATTATGTATTCATGAAGCTTTTATTTTTTATTTATTTATTTTTTAGAGACAGTCTCACTCTGTCACCCAGGCTGGAGTGCAGTGGCACAATCTCAGCTCACTGCAACCTCCGCCCACCGGGTTAAAGCAATTCTCCTCCCCCAGCCTCCCAAGTAGCTGGAATCACAGGTGTGCACCATGACACCCAGCTAATTTTTATATTTTTAGTAGAAATGGGGTTTTGCCATGTTGGCAAGGCTGGTCTGGAACTCCTGGCCTCAAGTAATCTTTCCTCCTCAGCCTCCAAAAGTGTTAGGATTATAGGTGTGAGCCACCTCGCCCAGACACCATGAAGCTTTTTTTTTTTTTTGAGATGGAGTCTCACTCTGTCATCCAGGCTGGCATGCAGTGGCGAAATTTCAGCTCACTGAACCTCTGTCTCCTGGGTTTGAGCGATTCTCCTCCCTCAGCCTCCCAAGTAGCTGGAACTACAGGCATGTGTCACCATGCCCAGCTAATTTTTTTTGTATTTATAATAGAGGTGGGGTTTGACCACGCTGGTCTTGAACCCCTGACCTCAAGTGATCCTCCCACCTTGGCCTCCTATCGTGCTGGGATTACAGGTGTGAGTCATTGTGCTGGCCCACTATGAAGCCTTTATAAGGCATCATATGATAATACGCTTATGATCTATGGCAATGTTTCAGAAACGTGGGGACTTCTGGCAATTCTGAAGACATTCTTGGTTGTCACAACTGAGGGAAGGGAGTTGCCACTGGTATCTAGTGGTAGAGGCCAGGGATGCTGCTAAACATGCCATAATGCACAGGACAGCTCCTCTCAACAAAGAATTATATCACTCAAAATGTCTACACTGCCATGTGGAGAAACCCCCGTCTAGGATTAGGAAAATATATCTTAAACATGATATTAAAAAGCACTAACCCTATAAGTGTCATTGCTAAGTTTGACAACATTAAAATTAAGAATGTTCACCACAAGATACCACCACCCAGGGAATGAAAATACAGTGCAACACACAGAGCCAGCAGAGGGCTCATTCGTAGAAGATAGATAAGGAAAAATGGCTGGGCTGGTGGCTCACACCTGTAACCCCAGCACTTTGAGGGGCTGAGGCAGGTGAACCACTTGAGGCCAGGAGTTTGAGATCAGACTGGCCAACATGGCGAAACCCCTTCTCTACTAAAAATACAAAAAAATTACCTGGGCATAGTGGTGGGTGCCTGTAATCCCAGCTACTCAGGAGGCTAAGGTAGAATTGCTTGAACCCAGGAGGTGGAGGCTGCAGTGAACCAAGATCGCACCACTGCACTCCAGCCTGGGTGACGAGAGCAAAATTCTGTCTCAAAAAAAAAAAAAAAAAAGATATTAACCTCTTTTGAAAGCCTTTGGTATTACTATGTCTGGTAAAGTTGAATATACCATGCTGTGTAGCACAGAAATCCCACTTCTAGGTAAACACTCTTAGTAATGCAAGTTTATGTATGTCAGGAAGTATATACAAGAATATTCATGACAGTGTTGTTTAAAATGGCCTGGACTGGGGACAATCACAATGCCCTTGAACAGATCAATAATCTGTTAGTATCCATCTTTCTATCTATATATACACACACACATATATATACATAATGCACACATACATAGTCTATGAAATATATATGTATTTTTTAAGAATAGAATATCATACAGTTATGAAAATAAATGTGGTAAAATTCAGAAATACACTGTACAAAAAAGTGCAGTGTACAATTCCATTTATATAAAGTACAATCCAAAAAACAGGCAAAACTATAGCATTTCGAGACTTACATGTAAGTAATAAACTATCCAGAGAAGCAACGATGAGATTCCCCTAAAAGATACAGGCTAGTGAGAGACAAAAGGACAGTGAAGGTAAGGAGGGAAAGGAGACGCATCTGGCATGTGGCTCAGTTCTGTTTACCGACCTGAATGGTGGTTGGATGGACTTTGCCTTAGTGATAAACCATTGTGCTGTAGATTTTTATTTTGTGCACATTTCTGCATGTATGCTGTATTTCACAAATTAAGAATTAGCGTTTTATTAAATTGTTTTCAAGATAAACTCTTCAGACAGGATTTAATAACACTGATTAGGTTATAAGGCTGATTGCGTTCCAAGGCGATTAACTTGGGTGTTCCTAAATCATTTTAGTGTCTGTGATTGGATTTGCTACTCCTAGAGTGGAGCTGTGGGATGAGGGGGCCTCAAACCAAAGAGGCGGGGCGAAAGAGGAGGTGTGGCTTCCTGCTTCCTGGGACGGGTGAGCAGCGAGGAAGCTGTGATTATTGTCCTGAAGCTCAGAGTAAAGCATCCTCCACTGTGCTAGGGCTCCTAACTTCCTTCTGAGTTCTAACCAGGTGGGCCTCTGCACTCTGTGGGGCCCGCAGGACCTCTACTTACGCGACCCCAACGACTTCTAGTCTAAAGGAGGTGAGGGTTCCATCTTTTATGTGGAAATTTCTCTCAGTAAACTAATGCATGGCAGTGATTCCAGGTAAGAAGTGAACTAGACTTTTCTCTTTTGTGCTGACGTCTGGCAGCGTTTGGATGGCTAAAGGAAGATGGCTGAGGGGCAAATGAGAGGAGGCTGTGTGGAAAGCATGGCTGAAGTGGTAGGACTCCTTAGATCTGGGGTTCTTAGTGGACCTGAACATGTTGGGAGAGGTCAGGGCATTCTTCATTCGTGTATTCATTCAGCGAGTATTTATTAAGCATCTAGGTCAAGCACAATTTGACATGTTGAGGAAACCGCAGTCAAGGAATCTCCACTCATGAGGAGCTTATATCCAAAAAGTGTGGTAGGATAGAAAACAGACCAAATATAAACATTAAATTGTTAGGTTCTTGCTACTCAAAGCGTGGTCTGGGTATGAGAGTATCAGCATTGCTAGGGAGCTCAGTAGAAATGCAGGATGAGAACCAGGGTCTTTTTTTTCTCTTTTTTCTTTTTTTTTGAGACAGAGTCTTGCTCTGTCGCCAGGCGCCACCAAGCCCAGCCAAGAGAACAAGCATCTTAACATCTCAGTTGGGTGCAGTGGCTCATGCCTATAATCTCAGCACTTTGGGAAGCCAAAATGGGTGGATTGTTGAGCCCAGGAGATCCAGACCAGCCTGGGCAACATGGCAAAACCCCATCTCTACTAAAAATACAAAAAATGAACCAGACGTGGTCACTTGCGCCTGTGGTCCCAGATACTCAGGTGGCAGAAGTGGGAGTAATTGAGTAATTGATTACTTCACCCCAGGTCAAGGCTGCAGTGAGCCATGATGGTGCCACTGCACTCCAGACTGGGCAACAGCACGAGACCCTGTCTCAAAACCCTCAAGATATCTCAATATCTTAAAGCACTCTATTAGGAAATGATGATGCCATGGAGGAAAATTAAGCAGGGAAGAGGCAGAGGGTGTCCCATGGGGAGGGTCATTAAAACTCTGAGAAGGTGACATTCCAGCTAAGACCAGGGAGGCACAGGGGCTTCCAGTGTGGGTGCAGAGATGAAGAGCTTTGCAGGCTTAGGGATAGGGAGGCCCTGAGGCCAGGGTGTGCCTCTCTGCTACCTTCCAGCTGGGAAGTGTGACTGGAGAGGAGGAGCATGAGGATGGTAGTCAGAAAGAAACCAGAGGCCTCAGGATAGGGAGTGACCCGAAGTCTCAGGCCCTGTAGGCACTGTGGGGATCTGGACTTCCTTCTGAGGGAGGGATGGAAAAGCCTTCTGATGGTTTTTTTTGTTGTTTGTTTTGGGACGGAGTCTCACTCTGTCGCCTCCACCTCCTGGGTTCAAGTGATTCTCCTGCCTCTGCCTCCCGAGTAGCTGGGATTACAGGCTAATTTTTGTAGTTTTAGTAGAGACAGGGTTTTACCATGTTGGCCAGGCTGGTCTTGAACTCCTGACCTCAGGTGATCCACCCACCTCAGCCTCCCAAAACGCTGGGATTACAAGCATGAGCCACCGCGC